GGCAGTACACAACGGCGAGGTCTCAAGTGAACTCTCACGGGCTACACCTGCTAATGAAAATGATTATTGAAACGCAACTCTATAGTATTCAGAGTATCTTTTATTCAAAATAAAACATACATAATCGATTCTAATATAAAAACTAATGTGTAGGATGAATCTGATGCTGTTTAATAAGTTTGTTGATATCAAGGTTCCAATTTACTCAAGAACAGCCACAAGTCGCCACGTTGCATGCAAACGATTTCCCTTTTTAGTAAGCAGCGTTGCCACAGCACTAAATCCGCCTTCACACAAATATGACGATGGGATTGCTGTCAAGAATCGTTGAACGATTGACAGCAATCCAGGGTACGATTGCGGGATAGGATTTTGTAGCCAACATTCTTGATAGCCATTTTTGAACTTTATTTTTATTTCCTCGTTCGTTGTCAATTCTGTTAGTTCTTCTTCCAGCTGAGGTGATATTGCTGTGTTGACATTTGAAAGTATTAATAGTAAGTAAGTGATGTAAGCTATGTCATGTTTTGATGTAATGAGCTTCTTGCGCAATTCTGTATCTTTAGTTTCCAAGAACTCTATCACAGAGTCAGACAGGTTGTAAAATCGAGTCAGACAATTAGTTGCCTCTTGATAGCCAAATCTTCGTCATTAGTAACACAAAACTGATGATAATAATCTATCATTCAAAGAGCTGTTACGGATTTTATTGACTGCTTTGATGACATATTGCACTGATTGAAATAGTCGTTCACTTAAATTTCTGGCAACCAAATGTTGTCTATGAATAACGCAATGTACAGCAAGGCCATCAAGAATTTTTTCATCACAATACTTTTCCAATGTATTTGAATATGGTTTTTTCGGTCTCTAAATTTCCAGCAAACAATTGTTCTTCACATATTTTCTCATCTTTTATAAACCTCACGTAAGACAGCTACAATGCTTCATTAGTTGGTAAAGTGGACTCAACCAACTGAATTGAGAATTGACTAGTCCTCAGATGATTGCACAATGATTCTTCAATGTTTTCAGCAATTTCATCAATTCTTATTGTCAATTCAATTAAAATTTTTAATTTATTTATTAAATAAAACAGGATAGATATATGAATTACGGGGAGAGGAATATCGAACCGAGTTAGTTTGAGCAATATCTTAACTAATATTAGTTGATGTTCACAAGTTGTAGTCGAGAGTTGAAAGCTCAGTCGGTGTCCAAGAGTCCCCTCCTAGATGAAATTACAAAACGCCTCCCAAGCCTCTACACAAGGCCCCCATTTTTTTTTGGGTCTCTTATCGCCCCTTTTAGGCCTGCAGCGCCCACAAGGGGGCGTTATCGCCCACTTTGGGAAAGGCTGGTCTACAGCAATGGTCTTTAGCATAGATGTCAGACATGAGCGTAATCCCTAATACCCCGGCTGACGAATAAAAACCACGTAAAATATATCACGTTGCATTAGTATTAAGCTTACATTGTTCAGAGTAGCCAGTGCATGCATGCATGCCTCATACTCTTCGTCTTCTGATGAGAGGTTCTTCAGCACCGCATCCATCAACAACGGGAGTCTCGTCACTCGCTGCATCGGTAGCATCAGGAACGAGTGGAGGGATAGACTCTGGCAAGCCGGGTGACTCTCTGGCCTGTGACCGAGTGATAAATATAGCTTTCTTTCGATCTGCGCACATGTGAGTACTAGGGTGGTAATGTATGGCGCGGCGGGTTTGCATTCACAGAGACGATAAGTATAAATCGATTAACGATGATCACATTTGAAAAGCTCACATATCTGACCATGATATGTATTGTTTTCATGATTCATGATGTTTTTGGATAGAATTTATTAATTTAAATTACATTTCAATTAATGACTTTCGAATTTTTATCAATAAGAGATCTAATTATGCAGAAAGAATATAGAATATCAGAGATCCTATCGATAAGAGACGATTACGGCCGAGTGACAATGCATATCAGACTAATTTGATTTAACAGAGATTGTCGCTCCGTTATCATTTTGAGCTACAGGTCCTAACTATATAAATATCTGACAGCGTCCAAACAGCACATTCCCAGTGCAAGTATGCTGCGATTGGTTGCTCTGTTAGGCTTGTTGTCGGCGGTGGCTGCCCGATTGAGGATAGACCCGCTTGTTGATACTCAGCGGGGACTCATCAGGGGACTGAGGTCCGAAAATGGAAAGTTCGCGAAGTTTTTGGGCATACCGTACGCACTAGTTGATGAGAACAATCCTTTCGGGGTGAGTACGAATATATTTTTTCCTACCTATTCTAGTAGCCTTGAGGGGTTGTGCTAGATTCACAGAACGAGTAGTTAGGTGAGCTCACGGGGCTCTAACCTGACGACGTTGCTAACATTAGCACTAGCAAGAGAGCAGTGCTTCGTAGAAGCTACCACCGGATCGGAAGCGCAACCCACTGAGAAGATCCGCCGAGAAACTCAGAGGGCTGTGTCTGAGGGTTAATTTACTCGCCGAGCCCTTCGTCGCAAGCGACGAGTTCGGCAAGGATGACGACCGGTGCTTGAAGTACCCAAAAGCACCGTTAGTGGATCAGCAGGATCTGAAATGACGCTTGAGTACAAATGAGTGTATTTTGAAGTATCGGGGTCTAAGATACTTATTTTTACCAAAACACGAATCAGTCAAATAATATTTATATGGATGCGATAGATGTTATAAGGTACAAAATTCAATGAATATGTTTGGGTTCATATTGTAACTTTATTCGGCGTTTATATTATTATTTTTTAAAAACGAAAGCCAAAATTTTACGCTTCTCTCCAGAGGTTCTAAAGTGTTAAGTTTGCTTACAAGCATTCAGGAGAAGAATTCTAAACCTATTAATTAAAATAAACAATCTAACATTACAATACTCGTAATAATTGTAATATTCTATCGAAATCAAAGAACATGTTATTTTTCAGCCATCAGTACCACACCCTGGTTTCGAAGAGACATTCGAAGCATACGATGATTCCGTAGTTTGTCCTCAAGTTACTAAGGGCGTCGGAGTTGGTAGTCTTCAGTGTTTGAACCTGAACGTTTATGTCCCAAACACGGCTACATCGCGCAACAAGCGCCCCGTGATGATTTGGATCCACGGAGGAGGCTTCGCCACCGGCAGTGGGACAGGCAGGGACTTCTCCTACGACGACCTGGTCCGACATGACGTCATCGTCGTATCGGTCAACTACCGACTCGGACCCTACGGGTTCTTATGCTTGGACAGTCCTGATATTCCCGGGAACCAGGGTTTGAAGGATCAAGCTCTTGCTCTCAGATGGATTAAGGAAAATATCGAAGCGTTCGGCGGAGATGTCTCTAAAATAACCTTGTTCGGAGAGAGTGCTGGTGGCGTCGCTGTCGAGCTACACCTACTGACCGACCAGGATAAACTGTTCAATCAGGTGATCATCCAGAGTGCATCTGCTTTCTTTGCTGGGGGTATTAGGAAACCTAGCAACCGTGTTCCAATAGAAATAGCAAGCCAGCTGGGATTCGAAACTGACAACTTCGTAGAGGCGGTAAAGTTTCTGGCCGGTCAAGACCCCCACCTGGTGGTCGCAGCCAGCACTTCTCAAAGCTCTGCCATAAGAGGCGGTACTCTTAGACCTTGCCGAGAGAACAAATACGACGGAGTTGGCAATTTTCTTTCGGATTTTCCTGAAAATTTAAGGGCTAGAAACATTCCTGCTATTTATGGAGTAACCAATAAAGAATTTCTAACATTACATGCTTATGTGACCCCAGAAGATTACGAGGTGACAGGAATTCGAACTTTTCTGGAACGGGCTTTCAACTTGACCGATAGCGAGATGGAAGACCACGTGAGACATTTCTACATCGGAGACGAGACGCTGACCGAGAAGCAGTTCGATGAGTTTATAGATTTTGCGTCGGACTATTACTTTAACTACGCCGTCCAGCGGTCTATAAAGAAGTCATTGGCAGACGGTAACAAGGAGGTATATTACTACGTGTTCTCGTACGACGGAGGCAGGAATGCCATGAAGCAGTACCTCGGCATAACGGCGGAGGGCGCTGCGCACGCGGACGAGCTCGGCTACCTGCTGGCCGTGGATTTGGTCCCGGGACAACACATCGCCGAGGAGGACCAACTGATCATCGACAGGATCACTACTCTTTGGGCAAATTTTGCTAAATACAGGTATGTTCAGCTTACACGTAAATATATACCAATAAACAATTTGAGTAATGGAACTCCAATTGCAAACCGATTTCCTTAAAGTTTCTTTTGTTTTATTACTTATATGGTTAGACTGGCTCGTGACCCACCTTATGTTAAGTGGTTACAGGAACCCTTAAACATATACAACGTAAATTTCGTCACCCATCTACAACGGCTGCTCCACCCTTAAAACAGAAACGCATAACTGTTTCACGGTAGAACTGGGCAGAGTGCTGGTACCTACCCGCGCAGACATTACACGATGTTATTCCTTCACCGTGGAAGTCATTCGTGAGCATATGTTTAGTACGTATTGCATTAGAAAAATTGCAGCGGGCTTCCTTTAGGCCACAACGACTTCAACGTTACAGAGATCAATGTGTATAGATGTCGTTTGATGCCTTTCCATGTTCCAGCAACCCCACCCCTGAGCCGACGGACCTGCTGCCGGTCGTGTGGACGACAGTAGAAGGTAACAAGCGGCCGTATCTGGACATCGACACCGACCTGCAGCTCAGAAGCAGGCCCTTCCACCACCGGATGGCCTTCTGGGATCTCTTCTATAAGCTCTACGGAGAATTGGAACGCAGGAACTAGCAGCCGAAATAAAAAATGAAGTAGTACGAGATACGGTTTATACGACGACAAGAATATAAACTGACCAGGATGCTTATATATATAAATATAAAGTCAACATAAATTTAACCTTATGTATTTTAGATGTGTTTCATTTATTATAGTATCTCCCTGCAGATATGGCATTTTAGAATGAATCCCACACGACCACGATGTCAATCTGAATTTAAAAAACTAGAGTAACATGCATGTGTCAACATAATGAGGGTCTTTCCGGTGTCGCCATGGAAACCCCCCACAAAAAAGGCACTTCTAGTGAGTGCTGATAGCTGTCAACAGTACGGGCACTCATTCCGTAGCTGTCAGTCGTGCTTCTGATGTCTCAAGTTTGGGCGATCACGCCACGGCCCTCTGTGCTCGCGACCGGAAAACCGCCATCGAACCGCTTAGTTGCGTCCTGTATCGAACACAAGGTCACCCCGCGAACTACCGAGGTTGCCCCCAAATTGAAACGCCGCGTTGCTCGACAACACCGCCTTCACGCTCCCGGCCCTGAAGCTTCAGCACACTCTGTGCTAAGTCTGCCTTCGTGCCGGCAGCATGCCCAGCGTTACGGCTTGGGCTAAGCCGTTTCCATACACGAATAACGCTGTGACACCCCTGTAACTCGCCCCTGTCCCACGATTCGTCCCTCCCCCGCCATTTGTCCTCCGATTGCATCCGACAATCTCGCACTAGCGATCGTCTTTTTCTAGTTGATCAACTTTGAGCGAGTTAGCGCTTCGGGCGATGCCAACCGCGCCACCTCGACTGCACAACGCTGATGTATACGTGTTGTTAAATACGCACGTCCTCCCCTCACTCCACCGGTAATTAATGGCGTACATAGATAGAATAAAACCCATATCCGTAACGATAGGATTTTTTAACGCTTACGGTCTCGCAAATCAACTTGATCAGGTTTGTGATTTTTAGTGTGAACATCATATTGACATTTCCCTAGTACAGGTGACCCTCCTTAAGCCCGCGCGTCGCGATCCTAAAAATGCGAACTATAACATGGTTAAGAATGACAGACTTACCGCTCGTGGTACCGATGGTGGTATCCTCTGCGCTTGCTAACATCAAAGCATTAGTGTGCCGAATCTCACTGACGGGATACTCGCCGATCGTCATCGCGTCCGCTTATCTTCACCTGATAAGATCGTTGTAAGCAGTGACATTGAGGCGCTCGGCATGGAATGCTCCGTCATTCTGGCGGGCGACCTGAATTGTAAACACATCAGGTGGAACTCGCATACCACAATCCCCAACGGTAGACGTCTCGACCTCAACTTCGATATCGTCGTTCCACTTCGATTCACTGCCTGCTAAATATCGCCATCGTCCGGATATACTCGAAATAGTATTATTAAAAAACTTGACTCTGTGCATACATTATGAAGTCATCGTGGCCTAAAGGATAAGACGTTCGGTGCATTCGTATCTAGCGATGCAACGTTGTTCGAATCTCGCAGGCGGGTACTATTTTTCTAATGAAATACGTACTTAACAAATGTTCACGATTGACTTCCACTGTGAAGGAATAACATCGTGTAATAAAAATCAAACCCGCAAAAATTTAAATTTTGTATGTAGTAAGGACATCTTAGCCTTAGCTTAGCCCGGAATCTACCCCGTCCCTCCAGGATAGCGTTGAAGCCATAGACATCGTAACGTCACACATCATCTAGATATTAGATAGGTCACCGAAGCAAGATGTAGCGTAGGACTTTCTTCACCGATTCAAATTGCCCGTCGATGACAGGGAACTCCTTAGAGCCAAGAGCACCTCGATCCAGGCTTACGATAGGTATCCTACCGAGAAAAATTATATTCGAATGNCCCCCCAGGATAGCGTTGAAGCCATAGACATCGTAACGTCACACATCATCTAGATATTAGATAGGTCACCGAAGCAAGATGTAGCGTAGGACTTTCTTCACCGATTCAAATTGCCCGTCGATGACAGGGAACTCCTTAGAGCCAAGAGCACCTCGATCCAGGCTTACGATAGGTATCCTACCGAGAAAAATTATATTCGAATGCATGCCCTACAACGCGACGTAAAATCTAGCGTCGCCAAAATCCAAAATGCCAGGCGGCTTAGTTTCATAGAAGGCCTCGCGTCCTCCCAATGATCTTACTACCATTTAGCTAGGAGTCTCAAATCGAATATGGTAGTATCTAAGCTTCCCCTTATAGGCCCTTCAGGTCGACTCGCGGCATACGATTACGACTAAAAAGAGAATTGCTGGCCGATTCACTGCAAGCCCAGTGCATCCCCAGCCCTCAATCCGCGGACTCTGTTCATCTAAAATTAGTAGTAGTAGTGAGGTCGAACGCAGAGCGTCTTTGCCAACTTCGGACGCGTTACCACCCGTTACCCCGATGGAAGTCGAAGACCTGATCAAAAACCTACGTCCTCGTAAGGCTCCTCGTTCTGATAGTATATGTATCTAATCGTGCTATTAAATTTCTACCCGCCCAACTCATCCTGATGATGGCATTTATTTTCAATGCCTATGACGAATTGCATCTTTCCTGCGGTGTGGAAAGAAGTGGACGTTATCGGTATATATAAACCCCATAAACCGAAAAATCTTCCGACTAGTCAACCCGATACCTCCTCATGAAAGTAGAGGAGAAGGTAACGCATAAAGAGAAAGAAACAGAGACTAGGGAAAAGGATAAAGGTCAGAATGCGACCTTAAATGAGTTAAAGAAAAAGCTGGAAGAAAATTGCAGTCTCCTAAGAGAAACCTCCGAAAAGATGGAAGTGCTGAAACACATATTCCAGAATCAGACAGCGACTTATGCGGATATGGTGGTATCACAGCCGGGGAGACAATCTCCAAAAAGCGCCACATTACACTCAATAATGGTCTCATCTAAAGATAAAAATGAAACAGGTGATGGTATTCTCACGGAACTCCGAAAAACAGCTAGTAAAGTCGAAGTCTTGGGGCTCACCATCGACAATAAACTCACATTCAACACACACGTCAGGAATGTATGTAGAAACGCTATAGGAATGTTTAAGATCATCGCATGTACAGCCAGAGTTGGTTGGGGTTGAGTCCTGAAGTTATCAGAGTAATATATGTGGCGGTAGTGGAGCCTACGGTGCTGTACGCGGCTGCAGCATGGCACGAATCCGTGTATAAGCTATGGGCACAAAACAACTTAATGTCATCCAAAGGGGCATCGCTCAAAAACTTTGTAAGGCATATCGCACGGTCTCCCTGAACTCGGCACTGTTAATGGCTGGGATATTCCCTTTGGATCTCCGAGTTCGAGAGGCAGCCTCTCTATATGAGGCCAAGAAGGGAGTATGCCAGTCATGGCTTGGGGACAGGGAGATCGAGCGAATGTCATCAGCAATGAACGCCCCTCATCCCGCAGAGCAACTGAGTCTGGAGTTTGGCAATCTGGTAGACGAGGAACAATATAACACCCTCAACCACCTTGATGTGAGAATCTTCACGGATGGGAGCAAGATTGAGGGCCGAGTTGGGGCCGCTTTATCCATTTGGGATGGTGAGGCCGAAATATGGTCCCACAAGCTTGCTCTCGCACCCTATTGCACCGTTTATCAGGCCGAACTTTTGGCTCTAAATTATGCAGTCAAAGAAGCCCAGCTCCGAAACGGGTCTACTTTTGGAGTCTTTAGCGACAGCAAAGCGGCATTCCTCACAGTCACTAATCACGGTTCCCTCCATCCACTAGCCGTAGACACCAGAAACATGCTGAAACAATGCACATTGCAAAATAAGACCGTTGCCCTATATTGGATAAAATCACACGCGGGGTTGGAGGGAAACGAGCGAGCAGATCAACTTGCTAAGGAAGCCGCTCTGCTGTCGAAAATGACAGACAGGCAGAACATTACGACCTGTGTCCCGTTTCATACGTCAAGCGAATTATCCGGGGTGGTTCGCTTGACGAATGGAACAGGCGATACCGGGATAGTGACAGAGCACCAGTTACCAAGCTATTTTTTCCGGATGCAGTAGCAGCGTACAGCACTGTAAGAAAAATGAGGATAACTGGGCACATTACCCAGTTCACTACGGGGCACGGAGGGTTCTCCGAATACTTGGCTAGGTTCAAGCGTAAGGGGGACCCTTCGTGTGCCTGTGAACCTGGCATGCCGGAAACGGTCGAACACTGCTGACTTGTTGTCCCATTTTTGGAAAGCAGAGGTTCGAGCTCGAAAATAAAATAAATATAAGTGTAAATAAGAAAAAATTGTGTAGATTAATTGCTGAAAAGTATGTTAAGGAACTGTTTATATATTATGCTGTACAAATAGTAAAAGTAGTGAATAAGAAAAACAAAGATTAAAAACTATGCTATCACAATATCGTGAGCATATTGTAGAATAGCATTAATTAAATAAGTTAAAATAAATAGTTGTTTTAAGAATAGCGTAAGATATAGTCAGTAAGAAAATTCTAACTCTCTACTAATTAATTAGATTAAGAAACTGAAATAAAAAGTAAACAACCCTTCCGATACACTCCTAGACCCCCGTTAATTATAGAATTAAAGCATGTGTGAGAAGAATGAAAGTACGAGAGGGATAAATGATAGAACTGGAATGGTAATAGAGGACGGAATGCTTGAGAGAGACCGTAGAATAAGTAACAAAACATGAAAGACTTTATGTTCTGGCCTTTAAAGCTTTGCACCCTAGCAGAGGAAAAGGGAAGAAAAAAAACCTCATGTCTCTAGAAAAACTGTACATGCGTCTACTTTACAATCGCCTCAGAGATTTCGTCTCCTCCAAGAGCATTCTTATGGATGAACGATTTGGATTCCGCACGAATCACTCATGCCTACAACAGGTGCACCGCTTCACGGAGCACCTTCTCGTTGAGCTTAACTGACGTAAACCGATTAATACGGGAGCCCTCTTCTTCAACGTCGCAAAAGCGTTCGAAAAATTTGGCAAAACGGTTTGTTATTCAAACTATTTAACAGATCTTCTCAGCGGGTTGGCGACCCGATCGATAGTAGATT